CTTCTTCTTCTCTACAACATCCTACTTTTTTGTTTCTTCTTCAACTTTTCACTTTGGAACGTTGATAAAGGATCAATAGTATATTTTCTCAATAGGCTGAATGTGAATTCTGCCATATACCATCTGTTTAAAACTTTATCATCTTCTCTTATCTGGTTTATCTCTGTCTGCTTATCATCCTTTCCTTCTTTCTCCAAACCCGTTCCGTTGCAGGCAACCCACTTGTTGCCTATCCCAAAATTTTATAATATCTACTGTAAGGGTAGAGTTAATCGTAACTTGCTATCAGTGTAGGGAACTAGTTCATTGAACCGGAAGAACAGCTTACATAATTGGTAGTGTAGCTCCACGCAAGCACAACAGTAAGATGCGAGCAACTATGTCACTGGTCTATCTTTGTTTTAACTTCCTGCACCTTACTGTGCTGAATTTAATTTTTTTTTTCTGATACACTCAAAGGCGCGTCATGATTTTGTGATAGCGAATGAAATCTTAGGAACATTAGTTAATTGGTTAAAGAAACACTGAAAAATTCCAATATAGAATAAACCATCAGAAAATTCTGGTTAATTTCGCAATCAAGTAAAACCATTAAAGTTTTTCTTTTTTTCTTTCGGAAGTGCTATTATCAGGACACTGGCATTTTTCTGCTCTGCGCTACATACTGCATCGTCGCTACTGAAATAAATTAGTTTTTGGAAAAAGAGTTAGAAAAGCAGTTTGAACAGGTGCTTGGCGAGCATATGTTTGGCATCAAGGCTTGAAAAAAAATTTCGACACAGTTATTCCTACTCTACATCCTGAGTGCAAAGTCAATTTTGAAAATTTTGATATGTTCAATTTGAGAAGATTTTGTTAACAAGATCTCAAAATGATTTGCGATCAAGTATAAATCAAGGAACACATCACCAATCAAAACTCAAGATTTCAAGTCTGCCTTCCTTACTGGAGAGTTCCGAGGGAATCTTGAGAATAAGGAAACGAAACAGTGCCTTTCACAGGAGCGAACGTGCCAATCTGGGCTTGCCCTCCTTTGAATGTGCATGGTTTTTGATTAAATTTTTGTCGTGCCAAGGACAGGCCACTTCAAGGACAGTATGTGTCTATCTCTAGTCCAAGATATTGCAAAATCCTTACCTAATTTTGTCCGTGCTATTTGTTTTTTTTTTGTACTGGTCGTTACTTGCCGACTCTTTGGAAGAAATACTTGCAAACAATGATGCAAAAACAGCCGAGAGACTTGCTATAGATACACTGTGCGAATGCTTTTGCATCAGCGTGCAGGAGAGAGTGTAGCAATGCTATCAAGTTTCAAGATTTGCTCACATCTGCTTCAGGAACCATGCACTGAATATCGCTGTATTTTTTACACTCTTTTCGTTGTAAATAGTACATGTTTTGAGTGTCAGTACTCCGGTATTATGTGTAATTTACTACCTCGTCGTCTGACTCTTGAGCTTAGCCAACTCGTTTTATAAACGCCTCTCTCTGACAATTTTGTTTTCGGTCTGGAATGTCTAGAGCGTTTGTCTTCTGCGCCGCATACCTTTCCACAAACGTTGGTCGGCTACGATCATTATGCAAACTTCTGAAAGATTCAATGGGCCAGCAGTATGGTTTACGACTGCTTACATAGATGAGATGTGACATTGCTTCTTCGGCATTGTACCGCTTTTGGAGAATGGAAATTGCCGAAAGTAGCCGGTTCCCCTCCTTTTTCATCTGCCTGTGTTTTGAGCAGCGTTTTGCATCCTTCTACACATTTTCTCCTCAACCTGACTCTGACTTGAGAAATATACGTGACCGCCAAAAAGTTGCGGACAAACCCCTCTCCCTTTTTCATCGCTCTTTTTCAGAGGGAAAACAAGGATGAAATAATGTAATAATTGCATGAGGTGATAGAGCTCTTCAAGCTCTACAATATACACTCTAAGCTTTTTGAGAAACATGTATTCTAAAAATTTTAAGAATCTTTTACTAAAAAAAGTCCGAAAATGGCCGCGTCACAATGTCGCGGACAATAATTCTTCGAACGCAAAAATCTTCTTTTGAGTCCAATTTTGAGGCGGAAACACAAGTTATCCGGATGGGTAAGCATACTACTATACAGAGCTCGTCAAGAACTACACACTTGTTATGGTTGCTTCCCCAAAAACGCAAGCTTGAGTTTTATTTTACTTTTTTCAAGAAATAACTTCTAATTTCCTTTATCAAGCCAAATTTCTTCACACGGAAACCTTTCAAGACATTCCAACAACGCTGTTCGGATAAAGTAGACGCTCTTTGCCATCCTCTATGCATCGGACGTGTGTTGATGAGTTTCTTGGCTGAAAATGGCCCTTGGCAGTGCTTGCGCATGACCCCACCTGCACCTCACCACTGACTTGTACCGCTTTGCAGGGTAACTCGGCCTGCAGTCGATATTTGAGCTTGCGGTTAGGCTCATTCGAAAGAACGAGACCTCCTCTACACGATGGTATGCAAATGAGTTGAGTTTGAAAAATTTCAGAGATTTGGCGGATGGGATGGTAGAGGGCAGCTTCAGTTGTAGTCTAAGTACTTTTTAGCTAAAGTTGAAGAGAGCTCCTTTCGCTACCAATTTCATTCTGGAAGTTCAAAACTGTCAGTTTTCTTGTAACAGATCCACTTCGAAGCTCTAAGGCTGTTCTGGTGTTCATAAGAGCTTACACTCCAATCACCACTGAGGCCGCATTTTTCCACCCCATCCGCCAAATCTCCGCTGTTTCTTATACCCATCTCTTTTGCATACCATCGTGTAGAGGAGGTCTCGTTCTTTCGAATGAGCCAAACCGCAAGCTCAAATATCGACTGCAGGCCGAGTTACAAGCCTGCAAAGCGGTACAAGTCAGTGGTGAGGTGCAGGTGGGGTCATGTGCAAGCACTGCCAAGGGCCATTTTCAGCCAAGAAACTCATCAACACACGTCCGATGCATAGAGGATGGCAAAGAGCGTCTACTTTATCCGAACAGCGTTGTTGGAATGTCTTGAAAGGTTTCCGTGTGAAGAAATTTGGCTTGATAAAGGAAATTAGAAGTTATTTCTTGAAAAAAGTAAAATAAAACTCAAGCTTGCGTTTTTGGGGAAGCAACCATAACAAGTGTGTAGTTCTTGACGAGCTCTGTATAGTAGTATGCTTACCCATCCGGATAACTTGTGTTTCCGCCTCAAAATTGGACTCAAAAGAAGATTTTTGCGTTCGAAGAATTATTGTCCGCACATTGTGACGCGGCCATTTTCGGACTTTTTTTAGTAAAAGATTCTTAAAATTTTTGGAATACATGTTTCTCAAAAAGCTTAGAGTGTATATTGTAGAGCTTGAAGAGCTCTATCACCTCATGCAATTATTACATTATTTCATCCTTGTTTTCCCTCTGAAAAAGAGCGATGAAAAAGGGAGAGGGGTTCGTCCGCAACTTTTTGGCGGTCACTATGTTAAATTTATAGTACAACTTTGAAAATTTAACTTCTTACTGTCTCGGCATATTCTCTTAATTTTGAAACTTACAATGAGATTTGAAACCTCCAAATAGGATCAGTCTATGAACTTTTTTCATAATCAAAGGGGTTCATGCGCTCGACGGATTCTTTGAGAGAACGTATGGACTTTGAAAAGATTGGCAAAAAATTTTGCTGCTCCCTAATTTGTTGATTCGTAAATATTCAACATCCATCAGTAGTAGAATCCTCTATGTTACAAAACGCATTACAAATATCATATAACTGACTTTCTGTATTTTATAGTAAGGCTTCTACGTATGGCGAGCTAGCTTTCAAGACGTGAAATAATTCCTTTTTTGCTTCACATAGCGCACGATTTCCATCTGTAGTAAAATTAATCTGCCTAAGTCTGTCGAGGTTTCAAAGCTGCAGAATTCGTGGTGCACACACCTTTAAGTTCCAGCTGATATTTTTGCTATCTTCTACTAGCTTTTCAGACCCTAGACTTCATAAGCTGTTTGGCAGGCCTCGTGATGGAAATCTGTTCGCGAATATTCTGCAGCACATAAAGGACTTGAGAAGGACCCTTTTGCATTATTGAGCAACTTTTTCGATCTCAAAGTCAGGAGAGCTCCATCACGGCTCCGTAGAATAAAAAGCATTTTCCTTTGAAGCTCGTGATCCAGCGGAAGCTGCATTTCACGATATAAAGGCTAGCTTCGAGGGATATCTAATTTCCTTTAGCATCTGTTCCCTGCATGAGTAAGTTTTTGAGTCACAGTAAAATGCTTTCCGCTTTTTTGTTAGGAATAAAGTTTTACAAGCAGAGTGCTGCACACATTCCTTTTGAGTCTGTTTCAATCTTTTTGTTTCTTCAATAGCTTCATTCGGGTGTGATCGTTTTGTTAGAAGAACTTTCATGAAAAATCACACTTTGTCAAAGCCTATTAACAATAGCCTTTCTATAATAGTATGGGCTTCGAATATTTTTGTTGCTGTTGCCTTACCAGAAGTTTTGAAACATGCCCCGAAAACCATTTCGTACCCGTCATGCATCATTTGCTATTTTTTTATTCGAGTACACGTCTTTTGCATATATTTTCTCAAGATCATCTAGCGACTACATATTGCGTGTGCGTGGAAATTCCCAGAAATTATTTGCTGCAGTGGGAACTATCATAGTTAACACAATGACGTCATGCATTTTTCAATGAGTAACGTCGTCTTGGTACTTTCCTAGGTTTATTTAAAGAATTATAGAAATAAGAGCGGACAAGCTGTCTGCGGCAAAATTTGCTGCTCGTCAATTGAATTAGCGGAGGTCTATATATCTCAATCCATGTTCATGGTTACATCGTTCTGCTGTTCGCACAAGTGTCCATGCCCGCAGCAAGCAGCTGTTATCATTTTATTGATATTATGCTTCTGCCTCTGCAGATTCCTGCGTAGTTTGCTTAGATTCTAGCACTGCTTTCTTAGTGTCCGAGTTTTCACACTCTCTTTATGTCTCAAAGTCTCAACATTCGCTAATTTTATTATTTTTAGCCCGATACATGCGAATCTACGATGATGTGCCGGTAAATGAACGATCACCGACGTCCACTCTCACCACTGATATGTGTGCATCGTCACCCACGTCGAGCATCGGCACGCAATGTCCCATCTACGAAAACGTAAACGATTTCGCTCCACTAGCTGCCCGATACATCGGATCTACTTCTCCACCTTTTGAGCGGTCCCAAAGGTTGAACATCGACTTCATCAACCACATACCACCACCTCCGTTGTCAAATAGTGATCTGGACAAGAGCTCCTCAGACTATGGCAGCAAGTAAGTGCATATTTATGTTTGAAAAGTGTAAAGGGGTAGGAGTTAAATATTTTCTTTTATTGAAATTAAAGCCGGTTCCAGAGCAAAAATTTTGCGATTTTTATATGTAGCTAAAGCTGCGTTCAGAGTTGCCCATGCCAGCGCCGTTCCATGCCGTGATGGCTCGCTGCTGAGCCCTCGATCGATCGATGCTGGGCTTGACGTGGGCTCTGGCACGGTGCTGGCACGGCTTCGGAATATGGGAAACTCTGGACGCAAGGTTATTCACGCGCGCTCAAATTAATTCTATGAAAAAATGGCTTCTCCCAGCCCCGTAGTACTAACCATGCGACCCTCCAATGAATACCCAACTCCTCTTTACGTTTTTCTAATAGTTTTGTTATATGGTATACTAGCTGGCTTACCCGGCTCCGCCGTATGTTCCGAATAGAAAATTCCATTTCTTAACCGATCCGGACCAAACTTGGCACACATACACTTCGGGCCCCGGCGGGTGCCACAGTCCACTTTTCGTTATCAATCGATGTCGATTTTATCGATTTTTTGCAAAATTTGAGCTACGGGGCTGGGAGTTGGCACAGGGGGGGGGGGGGTAATCGAGCATGCTGATCATCCCCGTGGGGGTGATCAGCATGCTCGATTACACCCCTCTGCCAAATTTCAGCCCTCTAGCTCAAATTTTGCAAAAAATTGATAAAATCGACATCGATCGATAACGAAAAGTGGACTGTGACACCCGCCGGGGCCCGAAGTGTATGTGTGGCAAGTTTGGTCTGGATCGGTTAAGAAATGGAATTTTCTATTCGGAACATACGGCGGAGCCGGGTAAGCCAGCTAGTTACAAATAAATTTGAGTTTTAGTAGACGTTTTAGCAGTTTTAGCAACCAAAAATCAAAAGATCACTTTTTGATTATGAGTAATCAGCTTATATCGCTGCCATATGCCCTCAAGGAATTTTAGTTCAAACACGTTTTGAAAGCGCAAGGTTCAGTCTTTCCATCTAGCAAATCAGTAGATTTCATTGATGCTGAGAAAGTGACAGAATTTCAAAAAATTTTGGTGCAAGAATTATGCATCAACCTAATGTACTGGTTATCATTTGGCTTCCACACTGAATTTGCTTCGCGAGCCAATTCTCAGAACAAAGTGTAGCACTGCTTTAGATCTCTAAATACGACGCTAACTGTTATAATGAAGAGCTTTACAAGCCTGGCTTTGGCATAACAAATCATTAAATATCATGTATTGTCAGGTTTCAATAAAAGGGGACAAGCCAGTGAATAGATAGCAAATCTATTATTACGAATGTATAGTTAAAAAAGCCCACATCCATACAAAATGAGTACACTGCTTGTTTTCGAAAAAACGCAATTATTTGCTTTTTTCATGTGTACATAGAAATCCATCGAATTTATTCACTATTCAGTCGCCGTTCGAAACGTCCACTAGACATGCGGCCACTTTCACTGCCGGCAAGCGAGCGGAAACGCCTTGAGCGGAAATCGCACAATGTGCTGATCGCAGTCGTTGGGAGTACTGTAATCTGCATGACGATGTTCGCCATCGCCGTCTGGTACTACTACGCCGATATTCAGAAGCACTTGCGGAGCCTGTCGAACTCGCTTTGACTTCTGGTGAAACTCGCAGTCGCTTTCCAAGCAGCCTTAAATTTTGTTGTACAAAAATGTTCGCTTAATTTTATATTTTCCGGTAAATTTTATATGTGCTAAAAGTTCTATCATTCATATGTGATATTTTGCTCTTCTATGGTTTGGAGCCATACGACGCTAAAAGAAGAGGGCTCGTGCGGACATCTGTCACAAATACGCACCCTCTTAAGCGCAGGAGGCGCTCAGGTTTCAGGTGTCCTCGTGAAACTTCCCCATTTGGCGAAATATGTTCCTCACCCCTTCTTCCCCAATTTTTCTTTTTTTTGTGCCAGATGTCGATTTGATTTTTGGGAAGTGGAAGCACATTTGTCTTCTAGTTGTTTCAAAAGAAGTGCCCAAAAAGTTAGATCGTCAAATCAGGTCATTTGTTGCTTTATCCAAAACAGAACATTTATCGCATTGATTCGGGTACGCTGTTCTATACAATTCTATGGTTGTGGATTTTCTAGAGTTTTTATTGCATGATGATTTTCTCCGACATTGCGTAATAAATAAAAAGATTTATCGCTGGTTTCACTTTGATTAGCAGCTACAATGATTCGCATCCATGATGTTGGATACCGTAGAATTTTAGGAGAGTTTGACTCGTTATTTTCTAATTTCTTACCCTTCGCCTTTTAGACGATAATTATTAAGCTGCTTAAGAGCGCAAGTTGAGATTTGGGGGGGGGGGGGGGACACATAAAATCATTCCAGTAAGTTTTTCATCTGCGTTGTATTAATCCTTGTATTTTTTGAGATCAAACTACTTTGTAAGAACTTCTTAGATGTTTAGAGCCTTTGGAAGAGCAGTAAACATCCAAGTAAAAGGCGTAATGCTACGGCCCTGTACCCCCAAAAAAAGCCGCCTCCCCCCCCCCTCCCCCCAAGGCAAAATTTCTGCCCGTTTGTACTTAGTACCTCTCTTGTAAAGAATCTGAAACCCATAGTTTTTCGCGCACAAAAATTTATCATTTAATCAGGATAAATTTCAAGAAAATAATTTATTAGCAGTGTCAGTGATACATTGAAGAATCCCTGCAAATATTATGAAATATTTCTTGATGTACACAAAATAGCTCATTGTTACGAATGGGAGCCTTTACAGGAGAAAACCGATTCAAAACCCAACTGCCGAATTTGAAGACTCATTGATGATCAGCTGGTGGATTTTGATCGTTGATAATACCACCAGCTATCTCACGCGCAGCTCGACAATCAAATTCTGTCAGTTGCATATTCACAAGAAAATTGAGAAAGAAGAACCAAAGAAGTATTGAGTAGAGAGAAGATAGTAAGTAGTCTGTCCAAGGAGCGTTCACGGCTGTGCTAGCGCTGGAAATTCCATACATGTAAGCAAATGCTTGAAACATTGATTCGAGAAACATGTAGAACTTAAAAATCAGCTATTTTTTCAATTTCGAAAATCTGGAGAAAGCCTTACCAACGAAAATAAACAGAAAACATGCAGAAAGGTTGGATTTATAGTAATTTTGTCAATGAGACGAGGCCAGTGTCTTAATAATAATGCCGAGATGACCAACGCAGCTAATGATAACATTGGAAACGATCCAAACATGAGCCAGCGAAAAATGAAGTGGATGATCTAAAAAGACAGCCGCTCAAACGGAAGTTTATTGGCAGAACGTACATCTGCCACGTCAGGATCTGCAAACTGATCCAAATCTGGATTTGGTTGGCATTTCATAATGAACGAAAGTGTCCGGCATCGAATAAGTTCATCTTGAACTGGTGTTACTCTTCTATGAATAATCATATGGATACATGTGATTATCGTAACTGTCTGGAAAGATAGATACCGACTTCATATGCTGACTTTTTGGACGTTCATTTCGATTTTGGCAACTAATTGAATTTTCATTGATTATATCAAATTAACCATTAACATTTTCTGAGATATCCGGAAAAGAACAAATAGGAGAAGCTTATCAAATTTGCGTACAAGGAGAATTTTATAGTAAACAAAGAATAAAAAGTTGGTGAATTTTTGCTTGTTATAGATTTTCTCAAGATTTGCAAAGAATTGAAATGTGAAAGAAAGTTCTGTTAAGATAGTCAAATGGTGTAAAAGATAGGTTGACGACTGAATGACTAGAGTTCGATCCGTGATTATGTCGCAGAAATATGGAGTCATTCGCTTTGATGGAAGATAGCTCTTTGGCCAAAAATATCATTTTCTAGCAGTGTGTAGACCATATTGCAACGACCACCGAGTGCTCGGTTGGTCAAGTGGGTAGGGGCACCGTCTCGGAAGCACATGAAAGTTCCGGGATGGAGGTTCTGATCCGCTAGTGAAGATGACTTTTGCGCATGTATCTTGTGGCAACGTTCATAGCAATCATCTCAGGTGTATATTCTGTGTTCGGGTGGTCTGGCGGATAGTGTTCGAGACTACAGAGGTGGCGGCCACAGTACGTTCCTGCTTACTCATCCACGGGGTTGTGTTTTAGGACAGAGACGGATACTGGCGAGTGGGGACATGGAGGAAGGGTTTTTGCGAATTTTTGTGTTGGGATAGCGGGTGCCCATTGTTGCAGACTGCTTGTGTCCTTCCCGACTCCGGACATTCCTGGCACTGGATTCCCCCTCCACCCTGTTGCTGCCTTTGCTGCCCTGCTTCCCTCTCCCCTTCTGCTCCTGCTCCTCCGCCTGCTCCTCTTCCTTCTGGGCCACCTCGCCCGGTTGCCTCGGCCCTTGTCCTCCTGGTTTGCTCCCTGGTAACCCCAGCTCGCCCAACTCGCTTACTTTTCCATCCAATCTCCTATTTTATTGTTTCGTATCCACCATGTTTTTGATTTTGTTGTAAAGTATGAAGAAATTACATTTTATTTTTGCTAACAAATCGATAAAACTTCGGAATGAAACTCCCTTGACGTCTATTGGATCCGTACTCGCGATTTGGCCACATCCAACCAAGCACTCTACCACTGAACCATCCACAATACAATTTAGTGTTCGAAAGATTGAGTGATGGATATATTTTACAGCAACTAAGTGATAAAGAGCAATTTTGCGAACTTTTTTCTAAGTTTTTTGGTTTAGTCACCCAAGTTTGAGGTACATGTTATGATTTTTTGCAACAGAATAGTTCTGATACTAAAATCAGAGAGATTATATGGGACCTGAACCCTCGATCACCAGTGGAGGGAGCCGGAATCTTCGACCTGCGCCATACACACCACCTTGAGACCAATGCTTTACTAGCTAACCATTTGGCACTGGATATTGTTATACCTAAACTTCAGCCTCCGTTCACAAAAAACCCAACCATGATCAGGGCTGAACCATCGATACTCAGACCATCAATCTCCTTTTCTATCCTCTTGACCACAACAGCAGTTACCGTTATCGAATGTCAATGGTTACATAAGCTGAGTTTTTGCATAAAAGCAGGTATAGAATAAAAAATGAAATTATCAGTGAAATTCAAGAGAAGTCTCCCAAACGAACAGTCACATTTTCAATTCTGATTTCTCATAAGACGAGACTTACGAACGTCAACTTCTCCAAAATCTGGAACGAACCCGAACAAATATCTTCGAACATGGATGTCTTCGATCTCTGTCGATTTCGGATAGATTTCCCAGCGCATTCTCAATATTTTCATCGTCGTCCATTATGTTCTTCACGAGTAGTTAGAAGCACCACTCTTGTTGGAATTGCTCAAAAGAATGAAGCGTGAAACCCCGCAAATCCCACATATGTTTTTTCTCATATTTATTGATAACAGGGGCACACACCAATTTTTACAAATCCCATGCGCAAGTGCTGCTATTTCTGTAAGATTTTCTGTAAGAAATTCTTACGAAAGCAACGTTATGAATCTTGCAAGTCCTTCTATCTTGAAACCTAGGCATGTTTTAGACAACTTCAGTATTCTTTCTTTGCCGTACAGGTTTGTGAGTAACTTTATTGTCCTTTTATTGCCGGGTAATAAAGTTACTACCATAACAAACCTGTACGGCAAAGGAAGAATACTGAAGTTATCTACCTACATTATTCAGTTTCCTGTCGTTTGTAGTGTAGTTCGGGAACTTCATTATAAAATGGATCCTTTGAATGAAGAGAACGTTGAAGGAAAGGGTTCGAGAACATTTTCATTTTTGCAGGATATATAGCATAAATCCTATTCTGTTCTTAACATCAACCTTCATGAGATGTCAAAAAAGTTATAAAGTGTGTTTCAACCGTTAAAAAAAAAGAAAGATTAACACTCCAATTGTGCAGTCGAGACGCCTACTGCGGAATACGCACGGTATTTCACGACTTACTTGGTGACAAGCTGTCAAATTCTAGGAAATCTTTTTTCTTTTTCTTTCTTGAAGCAGGTAAGGTAAAATCCAATTTAAGTGATCATTTCACAAAACTTAGCCTGATCAAAACGTTTTACACTCGGTGTTTACGCGTAAAAAACCGTGAGATCCTGTGCGCGGTGTGCAATTCCACAACTTGGATTGCGCATAACTTCACTATAGATTATTTGTTGTTTTACTGCTTTAACAATCATCTATCGAGTTCCAAAGCGTGTTACTACTGTTGTTGATTTTCCTCGCTACAATTTCACAAGAATTTTCAAGATAAAGTTTTATTTTTGCGTATTCTTGCATGCATTGAACATTTCAGTTGAAAGAACAAGATGTGAAATATGAATATCACAACAAAAACAGTGTTTAATGGAGGCACATTCATTATGCGGCGTTTAGGTTTCGACAAATTATGACAAGTGGAGAAGTTGCTCTCGCAACGATGCTTGTTGGTATTGTAGGATTATGGTACTACCGTAATCCTCGCTCAGGGAAACTTGGTGTTACCGTAGTTTTCGCTCACGATAATTCTTCCTTTGAAGAATGAATAGCTCTAACTCTTCTGATTTGCTATTTTGCCTCAAAAATCTCCTCCAACTGCACAATTTGTCAGGAATGATGTTATGAAGTAATAAAGAAATATATACACAGTACAAACTTTGAAATATGCGTTGAAATCTTTCTTACCCTTGTGTTCGAGATGTCAGCGTTTCGTTGACATCTCTCAGGGTAAGGGAAACAAACAAAGAAAAAAAGAAATACAAAGTTAAAAAAAACAACTCCTTCCTACGAAGAAATGGTCAAACATGAGTGGTATTGGTATTGAGCAATTCTTGGGCTATTTGCACTAATGACGCATTTTTTCTACCGTAAATAAGTTCCGGTCGCATGTCGATAATGGTAGTGATAGCACCAATGACTAGTACAAGAAAAATCGCTAAGAGTATAATCACATAGACCGGCGTACAGGAGAACGGTGGCATCGTGTCGGGATCCTTCCGCGGCCGCTTCTTTTTACTCTCAGCAGGCCGCGTCTTCGACGTGGAAGATCCCGAAGCGCTGCTACTGCTGCTGCTGCTGCTGCTGCCTGACGTTGTCGATTCAGCTGCGCCGGAACGATTCGCATTCTCGTCTTTTTCGACGTCGTCACCGTCGCCATCGCGTGGCGATAACGGACGCTGATCGCCACTCACATTCTTCATTGGCAACATCGACACAGAAACAAATCTGAAAAAAAGGGCGTTAAATTGAGTCTTAGGGTTGATTTCGATTTTTGAAAATATGACCAGTTTATGGTGTAGTAAATTTGACAGAAGATGTTTTCTGTTTTTGCATTTGCCTTGCCAGCAACGCTTGCGCGTGTCAATCAACCATGGGGCGCAAGATTTGCAAGTGTGCGCTTTGAAGGCGGTGTCCATGCAAATTTGAGCGCATGGCTTTTTCGCCTGGAAATTGATGAGGGGGTCCCAACTAAGGCACTGCCCAAGGGGCGCACAAATTGTTCATTCACGGCTAAGAAATCCGTCCCCGAGAATCCCGCGCCTGCGCCGTGACCGTAACCTAAAAACGACTTCGCTTACTTCAACACTACGTTCGCGCTAGGACCAATCCTAAGTGTTACGGTCACGGCAGCGGAGTGTTTATGGATGGATTTCTCAGCCGCTAGTGAATTATTTGCACTGTGGTTTGGTTAGTGCCTTAGTTAGAACCTCCTCAACAGTTTCCAGGCAAAAAGCCATATACGCAGATTTGCCTGGATACTGCCTTAAAGGCATTGATTTTTTCTCCCAGCAGTGACCATTACCGCAGGACTAAGATTAAACCTGTACTAAACTCTAAAAATCCACCTCTTGTCACATATAAATTCTTTACGAAGAATCTGCCAATTGATATAATACCACAGGAAAGAATCTCTATAGTTTTTTCAATAGTAAAGCCAAAACTAGATGCGGAATTTTCGGAGAAAAATTTCATCAGTGGATCGACTAAATTTTACGCTTAATATAGTTTGCTTGCATTGCACGTAAAATGCGGTAAAATTTGTGCTGAGCAGATAGCCATGCCAGTAATGCCGGTATTCTGCGCGCGCAAATGGCCGGCATCATAGGCATAGGTATTTGTCACAATTCTCTTAGACTTTCAAAAACGTTTTTTATGCTGACACAACCCAAATTTGCCAATTATTTCATTAAATGTAACCATTTTCAAAGTAAAGAATATACACGCCATCCCGTTTGTAGAAATAGGATCTGTCTTGCATGCGAATGAATCAAATTCAAGAAAAAAGATGACTAAGTTGATTTTTTAAAATAATGAGCTCACGCAAACGTGTAAATTATATGTGAGTCAGTTCACGCGACAAAAAAACATGATTATTCATTCCACCGTCACCTCACGAAAATTCTTTAGGCTGGTCTATGCATTTGGTCCGGAATAGAGAGTAAGCGTGAAAAATTGAATTTCTGAAGGTAAAACAGACTTTGTCAGATGTTCAACAGATTTTTTTGCATAGTCGAGTCCAAAAAATTGCATTCTGAGTGTGACTGATTCGATTCGACTATCAATAATGTAGAAATTAATTCACCCATTTTTCGACTAAGAAGCTGGAAAAAAATCGTCAAAGTTTCCTATGGTAATTTCATGACTGTAAACCATTTCCCTCCATAAATAAACCCGTTATCTAAAAATCCAGCTTACTTTATCTTCATTATCGATTTCTTTAGGATAGACGATGTGGTGTAGATAAGGATTTTATAGAAAAGTTTGATTGAGAACACAAGAATAGATTCTTTCATTCGATTACTAACAGCAGACTAGAGCCATAGGTCATAGCCCACAACGGGACAGGAATAGTTATGAACACAGAATAGAACTAACTGTGGAGTTTCTGAAGTCGAGGGAGTGTCCATTCAGAAAACATAAAGAAATTTCTGCAAAAATAACGCTATAACTTCCAGGGAAATGCGATAGATGCACGATAGGAGAAGACAAACCGGTTCGAGTCGTATACGGAATAAAAACAAAGAAAGCGACAAGTGAAGTGGAAAACAAAGGCGAAACGTCACTGGGAGACATTAATTATGCTGGAAAGTTACTGAAAAAGGGTTCGATCCTTCTAAGGAAAGAAATGTTGCGATCCGTGAAGAATGACTTCCCATTTGTCTTTGAGACTCAGGAATAGCAAAGAAATAAGAACTTGACCATGAAATGGCCGGTGGCAGTCTTGCAACAAACAGATCTTTAGCAGCGGGTATAGAGGCAAAGAAATTCTTAATTCAGAATTCATGAAAATTATACAAAAATGGATTCCCGGTAGGAAGAAGTTAACCGCATGATTTTGCTACTCATGTAGACTAACTCTAAAATATTCGTAGGTACTACATAGAAAAAGGAAATTAAGGTTAAATTGGAACTCAATAAAAATGTGTGAAATTACTGATGTCAGAAAATCAAATTCGATATTATCCATTTATTCACCAGCTTTGAAAATTAGCCTATTGATTGATCTTTCTGTACGGTTATGGTAGCAAAAATTTGAGAGACATCGATTTTTCAAAATTCGCCGGCCTATCTTTCTCTATGGGAAAGGTATCCTCTGCTATTCGCTAGCGCTTGATAATCTACGGGAATAGCTCTACCGAATTATGTTTATTAGAATCTTCCAGGTGTGCTCTTCGCTGAGTTACACCACTGCGAATACCCGTCCTCACACAAAAATCGAGCAGACTCAAAACGGAATAATAAGAGAATACAGTATATCAGAAGATTCATCTAAACGAACTGAACATCATGCTCTCTTCGCATTCATATTTCATGCAATCTGAAGGAAGTCATGAAGAAAAACGAAAAAAAACGCGGATCGTCATTTGCGTTTTCGTCGAATAATTAGTGTGGGTACTGTAGTTGTTGCACTCAAAAAAATAGAAATCAATAAATTTCAAGGCATATGATTACGCTACGCTGCCTAAAATCGAAATGCGGATTTATTTAATTTGATCTACCATTTTTTTTTGATCCACCATTTCTTCATCTTGATCTACCACCTCTTTGTTCATTTTTCTTTACTTGCAAAATTAGATTTTGACTCTAACATGGTCTTATATATACTGGTCACATAAATGAAAACCTTAACTACTTTAGAACTGAATAAGCACAAATTTTCAATTTGGGGTAAACTAAAATTTCTTTTTTTTTCAGCTTTTGTCCCATGTTTGAAGTGACCAGCACTCAAAAAAAAAGACATTTGCATCCTACCAGAGCAAATACATTCCAAATGTAAACTTGGTACCCACACACACACACATGAGAAAAATTTAGATACTTCTCAAATATCATGGAAACTTTTTGAGCTACGATATGATGCTATATACAATGGTAAGTTTGTCGAGAAGCAGTAAAGCAACATCCGAAGTATTTTGAATTCAAAATTTGAATTTTTGGTAGATTGTGACAATTCGATTGTGGGATACACGCAAGAAGAAAAAATGTGTTTCAAAACTACTCTCAAATGGATCTCCATAAAAACAAGAAAAATACTTTCCACAAAGATACCAGAAAATAGCCAAAATTGCAGCAATTTCGGGCATTTCCTTGCACGGACAAGGACTACAACCTTTCCAAGGTGAAACGCACACGGCCACAACCAAAAAGGACGACCTTCGAGATGCGCGTCGATCGAATCTAGCAAGGGTGGCTAGTACCCATTAAGTGAGTAAAAAACTAGTTCTCCGAAGAAGAGGGTCGAACGGCCGTTGGAAAGGTGGCTTCGGTTACGCATATGGCTGTGGGAATTCAACTTAGTGTAATTTGAAACTTGTGGAAATTGCGTGAATTGACGTAGAACGAAGCGAAATAGGAGGACTTGTTGTTATTTCCTACTTTTTGGAGTTTGATCAGCGGAGGAAAAACCTGCGCGACTTCAAAACATGGGTTGTTTACTAGCGTTTTCTAGGACATGCATTGTGGAAATTGATTCACAATGGGCATAACAGCCTTTAAAAAGTTTTCAATGCTTAGCTTTTATATAGAAAATAGCGAGATTCCTCACAACATGGCCATTGGCGAGGGCGGAAGGGATTAACTTCCCCGGAATTTGCCCGATGTGATGTTGTGTAACAGGGCTATGCAGTCACACCCCAGGCCCGATTATCCAAAAGATTCAGAACATGAGATTGCTAATGGCACAGGGATGAATCAGCTATATGAAAAATATTAGAACAATCCAGATGATCCAAAAACTGAAGTTGTGTGCACACCGCTCTCGAATTCAGTAATGAATTGTATTTTGCAACGCTGGGAAATTAAGATCTGGTGTGAAAATAGCGTCACTTCAATTAAATAAAAGATTGAAATTCTTGTAGAAATAATTTCTTCAGTTGAAATGCAGCATAAAAACAAAACTTTCCCACTGAAACGTCACAAAATTCAAGAGTGTAAATCAATCAAATCATTATTATTCTATTTTTATTCCACAAATTGTTACTTTTCTCTTTTCGTAGCTTCTTTCAGAAAATTGATCTAGAAGAAGCAAAGTGTTTATTCAAGTCTGTTCCAGACACTTGCAAACGTTGCCGCATTCTCACAAAAAAAAAGTTCCACTGAATTTGACGGCTTAAAATCTCGTACTTTTCGAGGCCATTGAAATTGCGTCATAATCCTGCACGATGAGCTGCAAAAAGTGCAAGTTTTGCTGGCAAGACAAAAAAATTCCTAACAAAGCGATTAAAACTAGATAATATAATTCTTAGAGAAGTGTATTTCAGTCAGATACTATCTGAAGTCACAACCACTGGTGGAAAAATCATCTGGATATTCTTCCAGAGAAAAAATCAATTATAGAACTGGTGATTATCGCAGGAATCCACAGAAAAACCAAAAATCAAAGAAAGTTGAGTTGTAAAAAAGACACTTAAAAATTCTGCATCTTACATCGACATCAATCAGAGTCTTTTGTGCAAAACTAAATACTGAAAAGAAAATATGATGCTCCTGTTCATAGTTAGAACTTTTCCTGGTCGCTGTTGCACGATTCAACTCTTTTCTAACACAATTTCACGAACCCTCTCAACTTTTATCAACAACAAAAAACAATGAAACTTTCGTAGTAAGGACGTATGAGCGAAAGCTGCTTAAGATACTTTAGCTTGTCTTGCGCGATACAGCAAGATCATGGACTGTACTAAAAAATCAGATCGAAACGATATTATAATGGCTTTGTTAAGGTACAACAATTTATGGAAAAAGTTCTTACAATTAGTTTATTAGTGGTGTCTGCCTACGTAAATCTCATTCACGTCAAAGCTCATTGAGAATTCTCCAAAAGCAGAATCAGAAGTCAAAAGGAAAAGTTAAAAGATCGTAACATGGCTTCTACGAGCCTAAACCTCAAGATGAAATTTTTGGATAACCCCAAAGTAGAAATTTAAGGTTTAGTTCCTCCTACCCACCGCTTCCCTATCCAGTTCTCGAGGCTCAAAAAGTAACCCAAATAGCGCAATCAGCAGCATGCATAAACAACTCGGGGACAGGCATAATCATACCAGTTTTCCATTTTGTCAATGGGGCATAATTTCCCGCAAGACAGCATAGCAATGGGCAATCGAAACAAGTTGGTTTTCCAACTATAGCTATAATTGGTTGCACAGTTATACATATAGGATTGTGAAATTAAAATTAGACAGTAAATATTAGCGAATCTGAGAGTTGAGTATGTAGTTAGAAGATGGAAATTTTTGCGTGAGTCCGTGTTTGAAAACTTGGCAATAATTGTAAATTAATTCAAGCACAGTGATTGAAAGCTTTCCTTTAAAAAGCCATTATAACCTCACTAATTCATATAGGAATTCGTGCATTCACTACTTCTGTTTTTTGAAAGTTGTTACCAGATTTTGCGAATAAGATTTGAGATATGACATCAAGGAAACAGGAATTATTATAAGAAAAAAATCCAGCAAAAAGTAACTGTATTTTAATGGTGAGAAAGTTGTGCAAAATCTTCCCGATTCTTTTATACTTTTTGTACGATAGCTGTTCTGGCTTCAAGTCCCCATTTCCTTTTTTTGTTCTTCTCTTCACTTGCTGCCAAAAATTCAATCCCAATTAATAATGCGTTGCAGCTCAAAGCGAAGAACCAAAAATTATTCAGCTTTTTTGTCAGATTTCTATAAATAATTGCGAGAGCCTAGAAACTGCAAAAGCCAAAGTACGGACATAATTTCAACGTAATATAGACGTCATGACTACATTACATATTCGAGAGTTTGTTCTCAGTATGCACTTTACGACAATAGTTCAGCATTTAGCAGAAGGAACAAAGGAAAAAGACTATTCTTTGGAATTATTTTCCAATAAATTTTATCAGCTACATATTTTGTACATAAATTGACGTAGCAGCATCTAAAAAACATCAAATACGCTTTCTGAAGTGTTGATGCAACAAAATTCTGACCTCTTATTGTAAAAGAAAAACAAGATAATGCCTACATTATTCAAATTCAGAGAATTTGTCATTACTAACATGTCTACATTAGAAAACATTAAAACTGAAAAGTTTCAGGATTTTATGTCTAATAATAAGGGATTTTTGAGCGATATGAAACCCTAAGTAATGTTCGGTCAATGTAGTACTCCCAAACAATAAACAGGATAGCGAAAAGGATTTATAAAAAGCCGATTGAGTGGTTTTGGGGAGAGGTGGGCCAATTAATTCGGTAGAAATTTCGAAAAAGTTGCGGGGACCAAATTATTTGCTCCAAAGAGCGACTGCTGTTGGCCCTGATGCTGATTGAAAATTCGGGAAGAGTAGCACATCGTTAATATTCAATGAGTAGCAGATGACGTATATTCAAAACAAAAAAACAAGCACAGGATTTTCTAGTCGAAAAAAATTGAGCAAACTGGAAATATTCGGGCTTTCACGTTACGAGGAGCTAAACAACTGCCATAGAAAGGAGGCAGCGTCTAATGTGCTCACCAGACAACAAGACCGAATGGCTCTAGGGAGCAAAAATCGGCCCATTTCCCATGTCTGCCGCTAAATCTATTCTGTCACGAAGCGGAAAAACAAACGAAAAGGCCCCTAAGCCTTTGTTTCCGAGGAGACAAAAATTCACAAATCATTTTGGCAGCGAACGTGTGTGCGCGGCTGAAACCGACACTGCTAATCCCTTGTCAAGTAAGTTCAGAGTTCAAGTATAAACGGAAACAGAAGTAGCTCTCAGCTGCGACGGCGATACGACGTCGATACGTCGATCGCATCGGATCGATCGCAGCGATCTTCGAGCGACGGGGAACAGGTTCGCCACCAGGAGACAACGACGACGGGGCCATCGGCGATGACACCCCAAGCGTGTCACACAGCTGCGGGCACCGCTGCTGTCCACTTTGTACGTTCGAAGGAAGGAGGGGGGGGGGGGGGGTTAATGTTGATCCCCTTATTTACGAGGCGTCTCAGACAACCCACTGGAACTTCCGCAAGGTAAAAAAATCGCAACGATTCCATAGGTTTTGTCTACTATCACAGAAGAGTGGAAAAAGAGTCGAAGACGGAAATCTCGGCAGGCATTTGAAGTAAACTGATTGAAACGGGAAACTCTAGGAACACTTTTCACAAAATGCCGCAGGGGGTTCGTTCTCTGAATGTCTTTGAATGGACTTTCGGTCAGTTGCCCGAGGTGACGTTAGCAAGTGGACGAATTTTGTTTTCGTGGTCCGAAGATGTGTTGAAGAAGAGAAAGAAAAATCAACTGCCAAGTCGTCAATATTTTCTCCAAATTCTAGTCTACACCTCCGCAAATATTTTGATGATGATTATTTTGATAGTTTCGCTTATTTTTCGAGAACTCTCTTACGCATCAGCGCTGGAATCAAGAAATGGAAACAGCAAATCAATTTCCACTCCTAAGCACTTGAAAAGATGCCAGTGCAAAAAAATTATCAAAACGTAAGAAATAGTGATGTAAAAGTGAAATAATGCCTACGTAACTTTGAGTAGGCTCTAATTGATGCTATTTTGGGAAAAATGACGGGAAAGTAAAAGTTTTTGCGACAATTTCTCAGCACTTCGCCGAACTCACTTTTTTTCATCCCATTACGAAATTGGCCAAGAATAGCAATGAAGACATTGACAAGGGAATATGTATGTCAAAAAAAGAGAAAATGGACGAAATTGTGAAGTCGTGGGCAGTATGGTGCAAACCGTCTAACTTATGAAAAACAGTGCGGAACTGATTTTTTTGCAGATATTTACAAGTTGCCGACTCCTCGCAATCCGATTTTTTCAGTTGAATGTTGTCCTGCTGCATTATTCATTGCAGTGCAAAATGTTCGTTGTTTCCATTCGTTAGAGCATATGGAATCAAAATCATACCCGCAGTTGCTGTTGAAAATCAGTAAGATATATTTAGTGGGACAAAAAAAAATTGAGATGAATCATACCACAACAAATCGGAAAACAGAATTTCTAGATCTTGAATTGATGATTTTGTTTGGAGTATGCTTTCGCTTTTCCTTTTACATTTCAACTTGCCCACTAGCTTTTAGAGCACAAATCTTCCTACCGCTACAGTATACCACACTGTATACTACAGTGATCCCGCGCCGGGCATGCTTGCAGACTTGCGATGCTAAAATAAAAAATCATGATCGTAAAATAAATTGGATCGAAGATGCAGAGTAGAAGGGAAATGTCAGTTCTCGCTTTGAGTGGAATTACGGTAGTTAACTGTATTGTACTGTAAAAAGTTTACAACAAATTTATGCGAAAAAAATAATGCTCCAATACACTCCGGAAAAATATTCAAGGGCGCTTTTATATGCCCGTTTAAAGAGGCTTGCAACGGCCATAATGGTAGTTTTAGAAATGGAAAATGATGATTTCTCATCTAATTAAGCATTAAAAGTTAGTATGCTATTATCTGCTTCTTTGGTTGATGTCTAGTGCAGAGCAACAAAAATTGCGGTTTAATTCGTTCGCACCATCAATTTACAAACCCAAACAACTCAAAATCCCATCTATTCCCATTTATTGCAAAATCTGCCCAAGCTGATGTTATCGCTGCCCACTAAGCCCACAATACTAACGAAGACATTTCATCAAGTAGACATACCTCCACTTACTCTGTACGAAGTGACGGCACTTCTCGGCCAGAGTTCGTTTCTTGGACAGTTGGATCGGATGTTGCTGTAGGCGTGCTTCGATGTCCAGCCATAGTTCGTCTCTCAGTGACACAATTCCCGTACAAAAACTTCTCGGTGTTGCATTTTCACTGAAATTTCAAGAAAAATAAACGGGGTCTTTGAACAAATTAGCCGCAAATTACACAGGAGTAAGAGAATGTTCACAAGAAAATGGAAAAATTGAAGGTAAGTTATTGTCCAAAAGTCTGTAACAAAATTTTTGGAAAATGGTAACTTTTTCTTTTCAAGGAAATCTTGTGATTAAGCATACCAAACCGAACAGCAATTTCTAACTGCGCTTTAGACAGAAATATACGCATATGACAGAAAAACAGCTGCTAAAAATATTCAAATATGTTTTTTGAATTTTGATCGCCAATAAAGGTAAAAGGTCCAACAAAATTTAATTTAGTTCCTGATTACGAAATTATACTTCATCGATTTTGTTCGTCATAAAAAATCTCCAAAATCTATAGACTAATAGAAGATTAACATGTAAAGAAAAATACACAGTCTATATTTTCAAGCAATTCTGAAACGAATTTTTGATGTTTTTTGCTACAGGACTTATAAACCAACCTTTGGATTTTGGCAAAACGGCTATATTTTACTCGGTCACATAAGAACAACTTTGGAACGAAAAATTTGGAAATTCAAAGCTTTGGAAAGCTGCCAACAAGCTAAATTAGGAGTATTAGCCGTTATAGCCCAAAAATGAGCCTAAGCTAGCCTAGCAGCAAGTTAAGCGTACCAAACTCGGCCACATGAGTGTTCAACTTCGTCCGGTGAACAGCCAGTGTTTTGCTAGGCGACACATATAAACAAGCTGCTATAGGACTTTTCAGAGCATAAACACACACACACTCGAACGAAGCGAAGCGTGACGGACACACGTCGTTAAAATGCGCTTAACTCGCTCGCTCGCTCTTTCCGAGCCCCGTGGTGGTGACGACCCCCGGCTTTTTGCCCTTCCAGCGATCACAGAAAGTTTGCGAATCGTCTGACATGAAGCTGCATTTTTGTCTGTCAAAATTTCTGAAATTCGTTGGAGAAGACGAAACTCAATAGCCAATAAATCTTACCCAGGATTAGGTATAAAAAAATCAAATTTCATCCAGAAATGCTACATAAATCGCTCAAAAAACACAAGGGTCGGTAGCGAAAAGACAGTATGACCGAGCTCGACTCTTCTGGAAACTGCGCAGAATTTATGGACTAGTTTATAGTCTAGTTGCTAGGCTAAACGACCCGTTAACGTGTATTGCGCTACGTAAATGCTTGATTTATGATCAAATGACTCCATTTGCTCAAGATAAAATATTGCTTTGAATAATGAGAGATCAAAAGGACGAAAGAGACGAAAGAACAGAAATTTTAAACAACAGTTCTCAAAAAGAAATTCCGAAAGACGCATAAAGGCAGAGAATGAAGTTTGCACACAAATTTATTCAGAAATAGATCAACGAATTCTTTTCAAAAGCTTCTACTGATGAGGATGAGTATGATAATCAATACACGACAGAGAAATAGCTAAATAATAAGGATAAAAATAATCTAGTAGATATTAAAAATAGATTGAAGAAATTGCGGAATTTCTTGGTTACAGAAAAACGTGAGGACCTCGTAATTTTCGAGACTTGGTGCAGATCTTTTTCCAAATAGGATAGTATTGACCCCAAAAACTTCAGCGTGAGATTTATATCCCACTTATATTTGAAGTAATCCACCAGTTAATTGGAAATCTAATGAAGCATGCGAGGAGCACTTAAGCAGAAAAGTTGGAAACTACAAAAAACCACACAAAACCCAAAGATGCTCGGACCACCCAAATACGACATATTTTTACTATTTTTGGCTCCAAGGTGGGAAGCAGCGGTCTGGAGTAATGCTGCAGTTGGAGTGAATCAATTCTCTTGTTGTTGTTCAGAGAGATGCAGTTCGGAGGGGAAATAGTTGGGCTGCTGTGCGAGCATATTAGGACCAGATTTTGCGAGCAGATTACGAAAATATTCACTCACGGGAGGATGGAGAGGGGGAGGAAGTGCAGCCTGTCGATAATGAGGTGGGAAAGCTTTTAGAACGAAAAAAAAACGCATTTCTAGAGCATTTTAGAAATAAAATTTTTTTACATGAATAGCCACTAGATAGATATAGATAAACAGCTAGCAACAGTTTTTGAATACCCTTTTCTAAGTTGCTGGGTATTTTCTAGATAGATATAGATAAACAGCTAGCAACAGTTTTTAAATACCCTTTCCCAAGTTGCTGGGGATTTTTTTTACTCAAAAATAAAGAATGGTTTCAACAGCCGTATCAGGAACTAAAATCCAAAAAAAGCTGAAGAACAGATGTTTCAGAATTATAGCAGCAAGCACAAATCAGGCAACAAAGGAAAACTCCATTCTTAGGATTTATTAGACAACACATTTGCGCTAAGTAACCTAGGCAACGATGCAGTCGAACCAAAACTCTATTTCTACATAAATGATGTTAACGTCTGTCTTCAAGTAAGTGTATTGAAAAAGTAATTTTGATCTTTGAAGTCTAGATAATTACGGAGCGAAAATAGGGCACTATTATTTAACAAACTAAAAAGTATTGAGTAGAATTAGATGGGTTTGCAAGTTCAGTAATAAACTACCCTTTTGCTGGCTTTGATTAAGAAGGAAATCATAAGAAAATATGACTCGCTGATAGAGGTGATTGAATATTCACATTTTTTTCAGATTTTTAAAGGAATTCTAATGGCTATATTTCAGCCTAAAATTGCTAACCTTGTAAGTCCGCTTGGATCGAGCACGAGTCCCGGATTAGTACTGCCTCCCCGTAAATCTTCAAGCTCGGCTGCTGGATTGGCAAAGCTAATTACTTTCGCATTAGCTGGCGAGGAGGCCGCTGAAGACACTCCAGAAGAAGAGCGCTCACTACTCGACAGGGAAGGAACTCGGCACTGAATCTCGGCTGCCTGAAAATTCGTGCAACTGGAGGGGGTTTCTTTTTGCAAGCTTACAGAATTTGCTTGACCTGTTTTATTTGAATCAAGTAGCGGCAAAATTTCTCCAAATTTTGAGCAGAAAAACTACACAGTTTCCCATCATGAAATTCCCACACAAATCCGAATTCCTTGGTGGAAGAATTATGGAAGTTATGGAGGTGGTCTAAGTAAACGGAACAATTAGAAAAAGTAATAAAGTAATACTTTTTGCGATTTCTGTCTGCTGCTATGTTTCCATACACATCACTTCAAACAATTTTCATTAATTGTATTTTACCTCCCCCCCTCCCCCTCTTCTCCGGCCCCTACTACCGCAAATTCGTCAAAGTTCTACTTCAATGTCGACATTTCAAGAAAAATGTGTGGGAAGGAAGCAATTTTGTCAATTTTTGCTAAACCTTCTAGAAGACCAATATGAACGCTAGCTAGGAAACTGGTATCCGAATTCTAAGTAGAATCAATAAGACAATTCTATAAAGAACAGAGTATCGAAAAATGAAGAACATTTTAGAATAAGGTGCCCCAAATCATTTTTAGTTATTTTTTGATAGTTCAGAAGTGACTGAAAAGTAAACATAGTCAACCAATTTTGCAAGCTTATGAACTGAATTTGATTTACACACATGGAGAACTTTCCAATCATTTTAAATCGAAAAGGTTATTAAAAGGCAAAACTTGGCTACTTCCTGATGTGGAAATTTTGATGTGGAGCTATAAAAACAAAGCCTGGGATATAAAAACAAAGTCAGACGGGGCTTTTACTGAGGCAAAATGCATAGCTACCATAGCAACCTTTTCAGATAGGCCGTGTCGTAGATGGTCTATTTTTGAAAGGGGACTTCGATAAATCATTATGGGAATAGCAGGCCCCATGCACATCACACTGAAGAACGCATGATTAATGGGAGGAAATAATAGCTTGAAAACCATGGAGATCCCAATTCCACTAGTGTGTGACGTTTATCCAAATTAGTGAAAACATATATACAGAAACTATTGGATAAGGCAAATTGTCTGGCGCGAGATCTGTTTGAAAAACGAAGCATTGGGCTATAAAGGAAAACACGAATTAGAGCAATAGCGGACGAGAGCTAACGTGCGTGCGGTTTTTTCTGAAACATTTTAATCCTTCTGAGGCGATTCAGAACAATTCAGTGCTTGCTTTTTTCCAGGGGCTATGACGTAGTGCCCGAGCCCTGAGCCGGCTAGAATACTTGCAAAAGGTGCAAAAAAAGTTCTGTTGAGTTCCTTTTCTTACTTTCCCTGCAAATGTTCGTGCATTTATATCATTTCCTGCATTGCTGATTGGATTCCACAGCCTGATGCCTGACATTTGCTAATGCAGCACTTCTTGCAAATTTGTTTTATTTTTGTTGCTCATATTATGTTGTCTCATAATTGATGCACGTTTTCTTAATTTCAGCTTCAAATCAAAGTGATTTTTTTCTTAAACCATCTTTATGGAGCAATAAAAACTCTTGCAAACAGCAAACCTTTGGCTATACAATGCATACTTTTGTTGGACCTTAGCCACTTCGGAAAAGATTTATCCCGAAAATTTTCACAACATTTCTAAAATCCATAATTTGAGATAGAACTTGCTTTCAAATGTATGAGGATGGCGCAAGCTTCGCTCATTCTATAGCGGCAGGTTGAGCAAAGGAGTAAAATTTGGATTTCTCTGAATATTTCTGCGAGAAAATACTGTAAGAAATTTGAAAGTTTACAGCATTTCGGAAAAGTCAAAAAAGTGCCCTTTTTGCTAATTTTTCTCTTCTACAAATGAGGATACACTACCGTTCCCCTACCACTAGTTGTACTAAATCTATTCTAGCTGTAGAAGGCAAAAGTTGCACAATCACTTTTCTTCTAAGATCTTTATGCAGTTTTGAGCCAATTTTGAGTCAAAATTTCTCGGCGCAGAATTTTTCAAAAAACTAATAATGTTAACCACTTTGTAGCACAGAACTTCGCACTTGTTACGCATATCTTTCATAACAAATCTGATCGTTTTTCACGGATTTAGAGCAAGGAAAGTGAAAGGGAAGAAGTTTAAGTTCTACTCACTTAGTTTTGAAGGCATAGAACTCCGGTTTGAGCAGAGAATTGCGAAAATGGAAGCATGCACTCAAATCTAGAAGAATCGGCTTTCAAATACCGTAAACATTTTGGTAAGAAGTTTCCAAGGATGAAGGTCCCCCCCCCCCCCCCCAGGGCTCGGCACGAGCTGGCACCAGGGAATTTTCAAAACGAAGTCCCCCTTGAATTTCGCTAACTTTTACGAAGTCCCCTTTGAACCCGGGCCAAAATCTCTAAAAATCCTTCAAAAAAACGTCGCAAGCGACAAAAACGATATCCAGCTTGCCCCGTGCCAGCTGGGGCCAGCCCCTGTTCCCCTCTGAAAACCAGCCTTATCAGAAGAGTTCATTAACACATTCACTGATTATGAGTCAACCTAAACCAGAGCAGCTTATGTAACTCAATTCCAGAAAAAAAAAACTCTCTCTTAGGCAGTACGTCACATCGCTTTCACACTCGTTTTTGTAAGAGACGACAAACTGGGAGGAATTTTTGTCAGTTTCTGACGCCGTCAGTAAATGATCTGCTGCAGTTCATTATCTCAATATCTTTTTGATTCATAAAGTTAGCTATTGCCGAAAGTTTCTTGCGGTTTGACCCTTCCCGAGTTCCCCGAAGCTACTACAAACCTTCTTCGGCTGTCCTTGCAGCCCTTTTCCAGTTCTCTCTTTCTCGCTCTCAAATTTAGCCAATATGTGATACTTTGCAGACTTTTTGTTAGTAAAGGCATTACTTTCTTTAGCCTGTTTGTGCTTTCGAAAAAAAAACTGAAAAGCATGCAAACTGCAAGTAATGTTGCTTTGCTTTACCTATCAGAAGAGCACCAGTTGAAGACCAAAATGTCTTAAATCTAAATTCTTACTCGTACAAGTCTATAGCTGAAGGTATTATCGACAGAAATTCTGAATAAAAGATCATGCTTTCATCTACAAACCGTAAGAGAATTTTGTACCATATCATGGCTACTAGCTCCATCGAGCAGTGGACATAGGTGTGATTCAGCCCTACACCTTCGTACGATAAGCTCTAGATTGCTGAAACTCAAAACTAGCGTTCAAAAATTGCATAGTGAGTTGTGAAAAGTCACAAAGAGATTTCATATGTTTACATTCCCAGAGTTATTTTGAACATATTACACTTCTCATGTTACAAGACATCGATACGCTCGACATTTCTAAACTTTCGCATTTTTTATTGCGGAAACTTATCCGCTATTTGTGCGAGCCTAACCTTTCGGAAAACGTCGTCGATGTTGTCACATCTAATTATCCCGGTAGCCATCGCGAATCAGACCAAGACAACCTTACTGCCGTTTGGCAAAAGCATTGTAGGATAACCTGAAAATGAACAAATGTAAAAGGTTTACTGAGGGAAAGAAAGACTGAGCGAGAAGCGACGAAAAAAAGTAGTTGCACAGAGGACAATGAAAGAAATATAGCCGTATGGCAGAAGCAAACCCTCGAATCTACGAAGCTCATTTCTAGACGAAAAGACCTCAAATAAAAGATAGTCCAGTTTGATTGCCCTATTTAAAACTTGAAAAATTCAAAGCACCTGCCTTCTCGCGTACGCAAACACTTTCGCTCAACAATAGCCATTGCTACTAGGAGACGGAAAATGACCGTGAAGCCAATCTCGCACAAATTTGGGCTTATAACAGTGCATGGGAACAGCCATACAGAGATATTTCTTTTCGAGATTGATTACAGTACAGAAAATAATTTGAGAGATGTTTTGAGTGAAGCATATCAAAATACTCATTCAAAGGCGTAGACAGTGAATAGAGCGATTCTTCGAAAGACTTTTTGAGCGGTGTTTATCTTCCAATCTGTAAACGTGACCCTCACGCAATTGACAGCACTTATCAAAAACTATTTAGAAGCGCTTTCCGGTACAGTTCTATCTCCAGTCTGAGTACAAGTTCTGGCAAGAAGGTGCCACTTATACTTATTATAGAAGACATGCGATACTCATGGCCGTTGGAGAGACCCTCTTCTTCAACAATATTCTAGAGAAATGCTTGTTACATCCACTGTTTTCTGCTAATTTTCTCAAAAACAATTTCGGAATGATGTCTGAAGATCTCGGAAATCTTATTTCAAGTGCCACTCTCTTTAGATGAGTAGTAGCTTGGGAGGCCTCCTGCAACATGGCTTGTAAAAAAAACAGGATGTCCTAAAATATGCATAGGATGTTTGCCTGCAATAACTTCCTCAAAAAGCTTTCGCCTTACTTTGAACACCATTTTGTAGACGTGGCTCTGATTAGATTCATAGTGTAAAGCGAAGGTAGCTCAACTTATGCGTACTAGCGAATCACCGGCCGCTCCTCATTACTGTAGGATTACGTTAGGGACTTTCATCTTGCAACGCCACCGTGAATTACTCGGGTTTCGAAAAAAATCTCAAAAAATCTAAAAAAATGCTTCACGACTTTCTCAAGCTTTGGAAATGTATAGTCACAATTTTGGGGCGTACAGTAAAAACAGCTATAGCGATACATGGCATATACATACGATCGAAGCATCGCGGCAAAGTAGAAAGTCCATATCTAGTGTCATCGGCTTTGATTAGCCTAGTGTAAGAGTTTTCAGGTTGTTTGGTTTGCTCTATGAGGGAAATAGGGCCCTCAATGCTCAAAACCCTGTTCAGAACCCTTACCGTAGACCTACAGTAATGAAGAGCGCGATGATCCGATCAAAAGCATCACTTAAAGCCTGCTCTACAACATGGTGCTCGAAGTAGGCGCGAAGTTTTTCAAACAAGAAAGTAATTAGAGATTAGATGTTCGACGCATTTTTAGGGACCTGTATATAACAACGACGACGACAGGCATGAAGGCATTGAATAAAAATCAGCAAATTCAGTATATTTATTTGTTGTTAGTTACTTTATTTACTGTATCGCATTTTAGGTTTGCCATCAAAACGGGGGCTCGGCACGAGGTGGCTAGTGGAAAATGCAAAAAAAAAGAAGTCCCCACAGACTTTTGCGAATTTTTACGAAGTTCCCTTTGACCCTAGACCTAATCCTTAAAAATTTTCCAAAAAAGCGAAACGTCACAAATTTTGTGTCTTTTCGGCTACAAAAAGAAACCCCTTTGCTTCTTGTCCCAAAAACGATATCCAGCTTGCTTATAAGTGGCAGAGCTCTGATTGGGAAAAGATTAGGTTTTACATACTAATTTTCTAACAAGTTCGCCTGCTTATGGTGTGAATTCATGGTAATATTAGATTGCTCCATAAATTTTGTTACACTCTAAATTCTTACGGCGAAAAATCGTGAACTTCATAACTTCACCCAGATTGCAGACCACATTAAACACTCTTATGTACCGTTGCTGTATTTCTTCCTCACCTGGAAACCGAGAAAACGAAAACATTCTTGCTTTTACAAAAATAAAACTATGCTATGTCCACTTATGTGATTGTTTACCACGAACCCTCAGAACTATAACCGTAAATTTTCAGCTTTCCACAATATCCAGTTTTCGAAAATACCGAGAATTTAACATTGAACACTCAAGTGAGAAAAGCTAAAATTATTTTTCGAAAACTAGGGCTTGTGGAAAGCTGGAACTTACGGCTATACTTCTAAGGGCTTGCACCATACACTTACATGAATAGAAACAGCATAGCTTCGTTTTTTCTAAACAAGAAAATTTTCGTTTTTTTAAACTTCTGGATGAGGGAGAAATACAGCAAATGAGCAAGTTGGAGGCGGACAATTTTTTCGAAGATATGATTTTCTCCCAGTTTTTCGAGCCTTCAGTAAGACTCACATTCCTGATGCAAACTTAAGGTGGATCGAAGCCGGTGCGAACATTTGCGTACCATCTTGTAGAGCTTGCTTTGCTCTATCGAATGGCACTCTGAAGCCCTATTGAGATTATGAAGCCACGACAAATCATTGTAAAAAATTGGAGTGTAACAAGACTTACGTAACAACACAACCTAACATCTTGAACGCTACAACAGGCTTGAATAGGACAAAAGACATGGATAATTACATCCGAGGAATTAGCAGATCAAGCACAAATAAACAGCTTACAAATGGACAATCCTGAGCCTGGGTCGTCAAGAGCCAATAATATCCTAGGGCCGGATCGCTTATTCTCGAACCTGATCAGGTTGTGCAGAGCATAATAACATAGCTCGGCCGGAGAGTCGACAAACGATCTGTTTGACCGAGAAAAGAACTGGTCGCTGAGCACTTCGCAGCCTCAAGAACATGCTCTGATTACGCAGGCAAAAAGCACACAACGACGAGCTGAGAATCCGAATAATTCCGAGAAAAAGCTCTTCGAGGACGTGAAAGAGGCTGTGGCTATTGCTGAATGTATGGCGCGGAAAAATCGCCGATGGTCAGCCTCGTTAAGCTTTTCAACGACGAACGTATGCACAATAGATAACCAAACAAGGTCGAGGCGGATCCCCACTTCCGCTTGTCAAAGTCACCATAACAAATGGTATAGTTATAGGGGGGTACCGAAGAATTATGAAAACTGTGTAAAAGTTGGCTGCCACCTGGTAGACTGAAGATACGACTGTCAGGTTTTATTCTCTGAGGAAGAAGGTCAAGGTGAGGGAAAATTACTGGGAAGACAGGCTCAGCTTAGGGGTTACGTATCGTTTTTATCTGTACGTACTCATATTGTATGTTTTTTGCTGATCCATCTGGAAAGAATAACTTTCAGAGAACAAGATTTCCATGATTTTCAAAAAAAAGAAACGTTGAGCAACAAGTGCGGCCCGACAAATTTCCGACAAAAATTTTTTCATTGAATAAAAGGTGGTGGAGATAGCTACGCCCTTCGTGAAATTTTATGTGGTGCCTCCCGACTTGTTGACGGGTTAACCCCGAAATTGTTAAAAATGAGCGGCCTAGAGGTAGCCACGCCCTCCAGCATTTTTTTGTTTACAAGGCCAATTTTAGTATTCCAAAAAATTGAAAATTGTTGTAACTATTTGCAATAAAGAGTGTTTGAGCATTTTTTTAAATCGTAAGGACCATTTTCAAAGATTTCGCTACTCATTCGTCTTCCCCCCCCCCTCGCTCCATTTTTTCGCCCCTGCAACGTAGCGAGACATTTCTCCAAAGATAGAAAACTGTTTTTGTCCCATCCAATTTTTTCAAAACTAGAAACTTAGCAGGGAATGGTCAGAACTTGGCCTAACTCTAGCAAAATGCTGTAAATCATCGGACTCGTCTTGAAACGCTGGTCACAAATATATCTTTATTATTTGCCAAGCGACTATCTGTGGAGAGTCGTGAGCATTTAAATGTGCGATTTGTCTAGTGTTCTGTGGCGCATGTTCCACGAAATACGTTTTAAAAAGACTTCAGGTCTTTTGGTGAATGTGCTTCTTCCCTGTAATTGAAATAACCATAGCCATTGTAAATCCTTGCCATCAGGGTGCCTTCGAAACTTGAGAAATTTCTCGTATTTGGACGCTCATAACTCCTTCCAGATAGGCACTTGGCAGATAAAAAACATATATTTGAAGTCAGCGTTTTGAGACGAGTCCGATGTTATACAGATTTTTGGCATGGCTGGGTTAACTTTTGACCATTTCCTAGTCAGCAATCATATTATGTATGGTTTTTTTAGCTGCACTAGACGTTTTGTATTGTTTCTTGGACGAGCTTGATCTACTTGGAATGAATAATCTTGAAGCAAAATCTGAGAATCTATATTGTGGGTTCTGGTGGATTTTGCTGGGTAATTTTTATGGAAAAACTTCTGGAAGTCTTGAAAAAAAAGCGCATTAAAGCAGAACAGCATGAACGCGATTTTAGTAAATGATATTAGGCTTCTACACATTTATTGCAAGGTGCAATATCCTGAAGAGAAAAAACGGAGCTATATTACGATAAAAGCATAGGCGCTTGGAAATAAAGGTAAGGTAAATTCCCATCGATTGCAAGTTTAATAAGATTCAAAACGAAACGCTTTGGCAGCTATAACAGTTCGAGGGTTATAATAGCCCAATTTACAATCGAATAAACAGTTTATTCCAAGAAAATGTTTATAGAAAGCTTGTCATGTGAGAACGGAATATCAAAAAAAAAGAGGAACGTAGAGGTGCCAGGAACCGTTGCAGCGCTAACGAGGCATGAAAACTTGCGCCAGCAGAGTTTGTGACTGAGTAAACGACATCGGAAAAAAGTTTATTCTATTGAACTCGAAAACTAGTCTTCGCTTTACTTTGCACTCTCGACAGGGATGCCACGTGATGACGGCACGAACGTCTACTATAGCTGAAAAGTAAATACAGAGTTTCACAAACAGGTTAGAATCTATTGTATTTTTTCTCTGAGTTTGAGACTTGCTGCTTA